CACCAGCTCCCCCCCCCTGACCCCATGAGCTTCTACGGCAGCTACTACGGAGGCCTGGGCTACAGCTATGGAGGCTTCGGTGGCCTGGGCTATGGCTATGGCTGTGGGTGTGGCAGCTTCCGCAGACTGGGCTACGGCTGTGGCTATGGCTTGGGCTATGGAGGCTACGGATATGGCTCTGGCTTTGGAGGCTTCAGATATAGCCCCTCATACTATGGAAGATATTGGTCTTCTGGCTTCTACTGACTTCCTTCCCAGCATCTGAGACATCATATTTCTCAAACCTGACTACAATAATATAAATATAAAGGATCACCCTGGACCAACAGAAAATCAATGGCATTTAGCATCTCAGATTTTAAGAATATCTATCATCTTATAATTGACTTATAATCTAAGATTTAAAGAATATTTACCATCTTATAATTGACTATATATGACTATGTCATGTCTCCTGACGTCCCCTCTCTGTACTTTTATAACTATAGACTGTACCCTTTCCAATAAATCATGCTAATGCTAATTTAAAATGGTACTCCTGACTTCCTTTTATTCACTTATTTACTTAGTTAAATACTTACTTTTCTTTTGTTCTATAGTCTCCTTCTTGAGTGCTTTTTTTCTTTTTTTTTTTTTTTAAGATTTTTTTTCTATAGGACATGTGACTTGTGCTCTCACCAGAGAGACAAGGAAAAACAGAGCGACAGAGAGAAATCACCTCTCCAGGTGACCATGCAGCAATCCCTTCTCCATTCTCCTCTTGGGATTCTGGGCACATATGCTCCTGCACTCAGCTTGACTTTCAAGCCTCTGGATCCAAGACTCTAACCATGGTCGACCACAAGGGAGTCCAGTGTCATAACTACTATGCCATCTGCTGGTCCCTTGAGTGCTTAATTCTGGTCAGATGTCCACGCAATTATCCCAAGTGAGTTTACTCACTTTCTACATTAAGCACCTCTATTTGTTTACCATTCGAAAATAATGTTACTAATAAATCTTGAGCCAATTAATTTCTAGTTTAGCTGTGTCTGAGAAAAAATAACTAGTAAACAATGGTAAATTCAAATAGCATTAAACATATTCAGATAAATTAGGGAAACTCAGGCCGCCTACTAAAATAATAGTAGATTTATTTAACCAATTAGGAAGATGTACCCTGTCAGTCAGTCTAGTCATAGAATATTTTTTTAAGAAAGATTTTTGCTATGGGGCTTGAGACAGACAGAGATCAAGAAATCTCCTCCCCCACACCAACCCCAGGGAGAATGGCCGTGCTGCAATCCCTTCTCCTCCATTCTCCTCTCAGGATTTTGGGCACATATGCACATGCATGGCATGAGTTTGAAGTCACCAGGTCTGGAACTTGAACCGCAGTTAACTATGTGGAAATCCAGTGACTTAATCATTATGCTATCTGCTGGTCCCATAGAATATTAACTTTATATTAAACAGATGAAGTAGTAAAAATCAAGCAATCCACTGGAGAACTACACTAGTTATAATAGTTTGACAATGTGCAACAATAGTTATTTTAAATTTTTAGTGGTTAATAACATTTTATCCATGATATGAGTAAATGGTCTCTGTGGCTATAAATAAAAATAATAATTAATTAGAAAAGGTGTTTGACCCTCAAAATACAATTATTATTAGAACTTGAATTTATTGATTTTATGAAACTCTGCAGGCCTTAAATGAAACACTTTGAAATATCTTTACTACCAGGAAAAAAAGTTTAACTTATGAGGGAAAATATCCCAGGATAGAAGTGATATGGCAGCTTCTGTGGAAGGCGGCAGAATACGTATTGGTTGTTAAATAGGCATACATACTGAAATCTACTGAATTTATTTTCTACTTTGTGGCTTCAACTTGAGTTAATGAGAATTAAAAATTCAAATGTTTTTAGAGTTATCAATTAATTTTTTTAAACCTCAATCTCCTTAAGTCCTTAGAGTTTAGATTTACAATCTCATTTTATTATTACTTGTTAACCATATTCAATAGCATATAAAAAAGGTTATTCATCACGACTAGGTAGGCTTTATTCCAGGGATGCAAGGGTGGTTCAACATATGCAAAACCATAAATGTAATACACCATATTAACGGAAAAAAAAATAAAAACCATATGATCATTTTAATCGATGCAGAAAAAGCATTTGACAAAATACAACATGATTTTATGATCCAGAGTCTCAGTAAAATTGGGATAGAAGGACTATTTCTCAGCATAATAAAAGCCATTTATGAAAAACCTACAGCTAACATTATACTGAATGGGGAGAAGCTGAAATGTTTTCCACTAAAAATGGGTACAAGAAGGCTGTCCACTTTCTCTGCTCCTATTCAATACAGTACTGGAAGTTCTAGCCAATGCGATCAGACAAGAGAAGGAAATAAAAGACTTTCCAATAGGGAAAAAAAGACCTGAAATTATCTCTGTTTGCAGATGGCATGATTGTGTACATAGAAGACCTAATAGTATCCATGAAAAAACTTTGTGAAGTAATAAATGCACACAGTAAAGTGACAGGATACAAAATTAACTTACAAAAAAACTATAGAACTTCTATATACAAACAGAGACAGAACTGAAGAAAGTAATCCCATTTACCATAGCCACAAGAAGTATAAGATACCTAGGAATAAAACTAACAAAAGAAGTCAAAGACCTCTATAAGGAAAACTATGAAAACCTTATAAAAGGCAATG